CTCTGACCGTGACTGAGTGGATGTGCTCTCTTCGTCCTCTGGCATGGGAGCTGCCTTGGAGCTCGTCTGCCTGGCTGTGTGTTTCCTGGACGGGGCCGCCTTTTACAGCTGCTTTTTGTATCTCTGCTTCTGTCTCCTTGAACCCCAGTCGGCCTCGGCAGATGGCCGCTCACACTGAGCCTGGTTCTGCTGGAGGTTTCTTCCTGTTAAAAGGGAGTTTTTCCTCTCCACTGTCGCTACAAGCATGCTTAGTGTGGGGGATTGTATTTGAGTCAATGAGTCAATGCAATCAACTGGTTTTCCTTAGATAGAAAACTTTGTATCAATTTGACTGTATGATCTGGTTGAACTGTAAAGTGCCTTGAGATGACATGTGTTGTGAATTTGGCGCTATATAAATAAACTGAATTGAATTGAATGAGCAGGACGGATCGTGCTTCCTTGACGGATCGGGTAATGACAGGCACGACGGAGAAGAAATATCTCAAATTCACACATTTGGGTCGATTCTCCAGTCGTGCAAAAATGTTTCAATCAGACCGAGTTTCAGCCTCGTTGCACGCCGTGTAGCATGAGGGGGGTAATAAGGGACGATTAGCCTCTCACGACCAGCTCCCCACGAGGAATCGTAAGTTTGGGAAAAAATAAAACATGTATAAAATTCAGTCGCCCGTCGTAATATTGCATCAGAGCGTCGGGTCGCACAGTGTGAGAACATTTATCATGAGCTGTGAACTTTTAAATCCTGCTGTATTGTCGTACAGTTTGAGCTGTAGCTGCGAGCAACGATTGAAAATGCTCGGCATTAAAGCTGCCGAACCAATGAAGAGCTTTAGCTCAACTAACCTGACTCCACCAGATGGATTTGCTCCGCATATCCATCTGGAAACCTTCCGTTGAAGTAATTTTGGGAAGGGGCGAAAATACTGGTTAGCTGATTGGCCTATGTTGGTGATAGACGGGCCAAATAAACCAATCAGATCAACAAAGCATATGACGTACTAACAGAGCGACGACGAAAACACAACCACAAGCCAGGCTACTCTTGCCGAAACCAGTCAGGAGAAGAGCAAAAACATCTTTTCCTCTGAGAAAAGCCTCCAGAGCAGTGTTTTGCTCTTCTTTCAGTGAAGAAAAACTCTGTAATTCCGATAAAACTTGCTTGATAGCCACGCTAACGCTAGTTTCATCGGCTGAGGCCGCCATGTTCTTTAGACTGAACTGTTGCGCTTCTCGTTGCGTCACACCTCAACCCGTCTCAAAGCCAACGTTGATTGGACGTTCGTTTGGTGAACGGCTCCAAATTTTTTTAAACGGAGAGTCTCCAGACTGGTTAGCTCGCAAGATCAGGATGGTTTCACGAGGCTATAGCTCAACCCCCGCAGAGGTAAAATAAAGAGCCGACGAAGCCCATCTTTCAGTAGAAGCTCTTACTGCTGTGATCCTACAAGCTAACGGGAGCTAGCATTGTTCTGCGTCCCTACTTCAGTGGCTATATGTAGAGCTCCCCCTACAGGTTTGGAGGGAGAAAAGTCGGTAGATATCAGTAGCTTATACCCTGGTGGGCTTATTTACTTATAGTACATTTTTTAGTTTTTTTCAAAAAAATTTAGGGGTGCGTGGGCATATAAATGAGGTGCGCTCTATGGTCTGGGAAAAAACGGTATTTTCTTTTAGAAAAATCTGCACAGATCTCAAACATTCAAATGGCTTGCTCTTCTTTAACCAGGGGTTAGTGGGTCTAATCTTAAAGTAATTGATTACAGGGTCCCCTGAAACAATCTCTCTGGCGTCCGTTTCTCTGCTGTTGTTTTTGGCTATGTGGCGCTTGAGCCATTTTTAGTCAGAACCGAGACCCCTAACCGCAGGTGACGCACCGCAGGTTGCAGTGTGGTTTTGTAAAGCAGCAGGAGCTGCAGCTCTGACAGAACATTAGTCCGCCCGATTTTAAAGGGGCAGCCCTACATGAGCTGCCCTCCCCGTCACAAATCTGTTTTAATGGACGTAACCAAGTGATCGTAATCTCGCCCATCGGCATTCACCAGAGAGGCAGAGGGGAGTAGCAAACCCAAAGGGAAACAGGTTTAGGCTAAAAATATCCCGGGCGGGATTCCCTGGTCTTATCTTAGCTCTGTCTAAGAGGGTTTTTTCCTCTGGGGGAAGCAAAACAGTCAGAGACTTTGGGCCCCCTTTCGGGGTCCTAAACCCTCCACCTGGAAACCCTCCTTCTGCTGAGCAAATCAGAGGGGGATAAAGTGAAGCTAAAAGTGGTGATATCTGTTCTGTTTGGCCACGGGCTGCTTTTAACCACAAAAAAATTTTTTTCTTTTAATCAACAACATTAAAACTAAAAAGAACTCTCAGCATTTTATCTAAAATGCATCAACCAAAAAAGGTTAGGGGTTTTTAAAGTTAGTTTTAAAAGCATAACTCGGCTAATTTAAATCCCTCTTTTCTTGCCCACCAAAAAGTTTGGGCCCCCCGTCACACCCCTTCTGACGTCCCAGAATCTCCTAAAACATAACCTGATCCTCCAGTGGATTTGCCCCGCATATCCTTTTTTGGAAACCTTCCGTTGAAAAATTTGGGGAAAGGGGGGCGAAAATACTGGTTAGCTGTTTGGCCTTTTTGGTATAGACGGGCCAAATAAACTAATCAGATAACGAAGCTATGACGTAAACAGAGCTAGGGAGCACCCCAAACTCTTGCTGAAAAGCGGGAGAAGGGAAAAAAACATTTTTTTCCCTGAGAAAAGCCTCCAGAGCAGGTTTTGCTCTTCTTTCAGTGAAGAAATACGTTTAATTCCCATAAAACTTTCTCATAGCCTCCGCTAAACGCTAGTTTCCCTCGGCTGAAAACCGCCATGTTCTTTTGACTAATGTCGCGCTTCTCTTGCGTCACACCTCAACCCCCTCAAAGCCAACGCTGATTGGACGTTCGTTTGGGAACGGGTCCAAATTTTTTTAAAGGGAGTTCCAGCTGATCTGCGAGTGAAATCTTGAAAGCTGGGATGGGTGGGTTACGAGGGGTACTAAAACATGGGATAGCTGAACTTTATGTATTTTTTCTTTTTTGGGGTAACATAGATATCATAAAAGGGGCTAGAAACTTAAGTCCGATGAACCTAACTTCACATTTAAAACACATAAGCTTAATGCCCATGAAATGATGCAAAAGGCTCCGTTTAAAAAACTTGCTCCCCCTGGGCCCCGGCTGCCTAAAGAAATGTCTTTGGAAAGGTTTGTCTGGCACACGTCAAAACTTTAAAATGTGTTGGAGAGAAATTTTGATAATTTCGCAAAGTTATGATTACTTACTCAAAGGGTTTGGGAAAAACTAACGCCACGCTTAGGTAACTTTCACTTAAGATGTCACTGATCAGATAACTTAGCGGAACTTATGGACCGCATACGAGAAACGATGCCATAGCCGGAAAATTTGGGGCATGTTCAAACTTTCTCGACCTACTCGCCATTTTTCGGTTTGCCAGCGTACTTCACGGTTTCCACATACTTCCCCGCGTGCCATAAATTATATAAAATGATCCGAAAATTATCCAACTACCCGGTTTTTGCCCGATTTTTCGTACGTCAGGGGGGACGCCGGTCTAAATGTCGAGGTGTGATGGGGGTTTAGATATAATCGGCCATTTTTCAAGCTAGTTTCGTTACTCAAAATGATTTGGGTGAACGTTTCCACCAGATTAAACTTGTGGTTGCCCAACCAAACCCGTAGGCCCCCATACGGTTTTTGGGGGGAACCCTCAGTAATACAGTGCTTATACCCCGGGGGACGATGTTTCCATTTTAAAAAAAAAAAAATGTAGTGGGTGCGGTTTTTAAATTTAAAATGCGCTCTATAGTCTGGAAAAAACGGTATTTTCAGAAATCCACGGGGCCGCGTAAGGCGCATCAACACCTACCAAAAAACACAATCGCGGTGATGTTTACACTTCCATCCTCCCCTTTTCCCTCATGCTTATACCAAGCGGGGGGCACAAAGGGGTTTTCCAGCCGTCTGCGGGTGAGAGGCGGGGTTACCCTCAGGGTTTCCGCAGGTTATTAAAAATCATTAAAAGTCATTAAATTTTTATTTTTTTAAATAAGGTCTTAACTGGCATTAAAATTCATTAAAATTTATTATCGTGGGATTTAAAATGCGTTATTTAGAAAAAAAAAAAATAATTAAAAACAATTTTTTTTTAGCTTAATACAAAAAACTGGTTCCCCCGTGTTTTGGCAGAGTGCTTCCGGTTGATCGTAAACCGAAGTTTTGGAAAGAAGCTTGAGGCAAAGAATAGGGTAGAGAATGTAAACTTTAACAAAAGTTACAGGCTGCAGCCTGTCGACGGTAAAGATGATGAAGGACTTTGGCATGTTTTATATATAGATATATATAAATATTAAAGAGTCATGGGTACTTGTTGATGGCATTAAAATAATTTCTAAGTGCATTAAAAAGCATTAAATTACAGTAACTCATTCATGTATAAACTGTGACCCTGGACAGGTCGCCGGTCCATCACAGATTTTACACTTTCTGATTGGTTGAATGAATCATGAAACATAATATTGTTTCCGGAAAATTTGAACATTTACGCCATGCAAAACCTAAAGATGTGCTACAGCAAGGTGTGCACCCTGTGAAATATTCTCAGCTAAAAGCCTGAAAGGAGGTGATTCCAAAGAGATGACGGTGAGTGCCTGAGGCGGCTCTGCTCTCTGGATCAATGCATCAAACCATAAAGAAAAGTAGAAACCATCTCAGCCAGGAAAAGCCTGATTGGTGCATCTCTAAAAAGTAGATTTTACAGACATCAGTGCAAGAAGCTGTGTATCTAAATATAAAATCCTCCATCAGCCAGATGATGGTCAGTAGATGCACAACAGTGAAGATACAAACAGGAATAAAAGTCAGCATATTGGGGATTTTTCTCTCTTTAAAGGCAAGAAAATCACAAACACAAACACAGACAAGGAATTTTGAGTCACACTGCGTACCTTTTGCTTTAGCTGCTTCAATGGTAGCTTTGTTTTGGGGGGTTTGGGAAGGAGGAAAAGAGCCAGTCATCAAATATGGCTAAAATAACACATTCAAGAGCAACATCACATTTTTATCCTTTATGAAACAACAGGAGATCAACGGTGAGTCACGGTCGCTCTGAGAGGAAGGTAGAGACGCCTGGCAGGGATTTAGGATAGTGTGGTGTTAAAGGGTCACTGGGACTTATGAGAGGAGAGCTGAGGGGGGATTTACCTCAGCTCTGAGGCATGGAGGGAGGCGCACTTGCAAAAAACAGCTAGAAATAAAGTCAACATTTCTTAAATCAATGATTTTCCCCAAATTTGAGCAGGGAAAAAAGATATTTGCCAATGAATGAAATTTTTTTCTGTTTTAAAGATAATATGC